TCATTGAACCATTTAGTATACTCGATATCAAGTTGACCATCAATCTCATTTTCGATGAGATTATTTTGTTGTAGTTAGGGAACGTATCCAATGTCAAAAAATAATATGCTAGTCAATTTGTATATTATGATGGCTAATTAAATATTAATAATATTATTATTAAATGTTAGACACTTACTTAATGCAAGGTTTAACTTTTTAATAGTTCAATAATATATATTAATGTGCTACCTTGTACTCTTCTTTTGTCAACCTTCATGTTGTGGCTCAACTAATTGATCAACCATGCTTGTTTAAATAGTAAAAGTACAACTTCAATGTGGTCACTCAATTCTTCACCGCACTTAATATTGCATGGTACTTTTTGATGTCTAGTATTCATATGTGGCTCGAAGTAGTATGAACGGAATAAAGAAGCTTCTTCAACTAAATATACATTGTATATTGATCCTTCTATTTTTGCTTTATTTCTTACATTACTTTTAAGTTTTTGAAGATACCTAAAACATTAGGTTTGTTAATGGTTAATAATTGTAAAATCATTTTTTTAACATTATAAATCAATATTATTATCTTTTAAATGGATACATCCATTGATATTATACTTATCCCGCAATCCTTGCCACATATGGTAGGTGGACTGAAAGATATTCCATAGAGCAAAAAAAAAAAAAAAAAACTAAGAGAAAATATATGCTCTAGTTTGCATAAGATTAGAGGTATCTCTACCTCAAGACGTATCATATATTATATCCTTATCACAATTAAAGTCAAGTCTCTAAAGAAAAAACTTAACTTAAAAAGTGCTTATCAAATATTTCTCCGTAAGAGCTCCCTAAATGCAATAGGTATTAACCTCTACATAAACATATGACATTCATGGTTTTTCATCCCATATAATCCGAGTTGTTCATATCCATATATCTAGGCATGTTTAAAACATATCAATCTAAAAACCTAAGTTGTTTAAACCATTCATACAATATTTTTTTCTATTCTTTGTGAAGCATAAAACTTGCTTTAGAGTATTTTCTTAAAGCTTCATCCTTTTGCTAATTCTAGCCTCTTATAAAAAAATTTCAAGTGTTCTCCGAAATTTGCATTGTCTTTGATTTTGCTCGATACATTCATTACTATGTTAAACACATTGTCGAACACATCTTTTTCAATATGCATAACATCCAAATTATATCGAATGAGATTAGTACTCTAATATAGCAATTTCTAGAATATATTATGTTTCTTCAACCGGACATTTGAAATATACTATTTTTATACCGATCTACATCCTCTCGTTAGCATCTTTATCAACCCTCAATCCGTTATCCGCTAAAAAATCTCCACTTTAGACCAGATTGGAGGAGGGTTGTCCCTCATAACTTTACTTTTGGTAAACAACTTCTTGTTCCTCCAAAATGGATGATCTTCGAGCGAAACTTCTAATAATAGTCAAACCACAAAGTTTTACTTACATTGGTAAGGGTGAAAGCATTAGAATTCTTCATATAATAAGGACATACAAATTTTTCTATAGTACTCTAACTAGACAACATTGAATATATAGAAAAGTCATTGATTTCCACATCACAATGGTGCATAATAAAAAATTCTACTTTCAATAAACATCATAGGTCACCACACCTACTTTTCATAAATAAAGCAACTACATAATCAAAGACTATAAAAACACATCCAGATTATGCTTTGGGTTTAATGATCTTAGAACAATAATTATTAAGAACATGTATTCTTCTTCCATAAATATCCATTATAGTAAATTGTAAGGTGTCATAATTACAAGGTAAGAAGAATATTGAGCACCGCATTGACATAAAGGTTGAAACTCGTTAGTGCAAACTAACAAGTCGACATTTTTTTATGATATAAAAGAATAATGTGTTTGATCAAAATAGCATCATGCAATAAAGTCAAAGCAATGACTCATGGCATATTCATCCCTTACATTATGTTCGATGTGCCACATCACATGCTCGAATGTAGCATATGGATGTATACAATCTTTACAAATGCAATTACAAATGCGGGGTAAGTAGAAAGTAATACCTTTTTTTTTAGTGGAACATGTTTTGCTCTTATCAATCTATAATACTTTCAACTTAGGACCTACATAGGTTATGGATATTATCGATATTACATTTGAAGTAAAATGAATGCAAGCCAGAAGGCTCCTCTTCTTAACGAGTCTTAGTTCATTGGCAAAGTGGGCAATTTTACTAGTGAGGCCCTTAATGAGTATGAGATGCTAGGTCTACCTTAACATTACTTAGGTAAAAATTTTCTTAGATTTGATAAAGCCTTTACTAAATTTTTAAAAAAAGTTACTACTAACTTAGCCATTTGATTTTCTTTTAGTCTTAACCTTAGCATCCCTTTTTAATTCCTTACTTTTTACCTTTATTTTGTTGCCTTATATCTCAATTTTATCTATTTCCATAATCAAGTCACCTATATCATCCTAGTCATATTAAGAAACCAAGTCCTATAACTAACAAGCTTTGGCATAACATTAACTTAACATTCAAACCATATATATATATAAAACATGCCAAAATTTGCTTAACTCACTAAAGGGAACTTCACACTATGGTCACTTTTTATATTCTCATTCTACCCCTTCTCTTTATGCTTTTTTTAATGCTGATTGGACAAGGAATGCTAATACAAGTCACTCTACCTCTGCTTATAGTGTCCTTTTAGTGGTCCGGTCCAATTAGTTAGAGCTTAAAAAAAAAAAAAAAAACCATTGTTGCTTGCTCACCATTGAAGTTGGGTATAAGGTTATTGTTGTTTCCATTGCAGAAATTAGTTAGGTGGAAAATCTTTTTGGAGAACATGGTGTCTCTACTACCTCCACACCAATCATCTACCGTGATAATATTGGTGTTATATATCTCTCCTCCAATATTTTATTCTTGCATGAAGCATATTGTTATTGAATTTTACTTTATTAGTGATCAATTCGCTTCCAAAGTGCTTCGGAGTTACTTATGTTCACTCTTCTAATTAGCTTGCCGACTAACTCACCAAACCCCTTACACGTAACACTTTTCGGTAACATTGTTCCAAGCTTAGTGTCCTTTTATGACCCTTGAGCTTATGGGGGCATGATAGAGAATCTCGTGAGAATACTAAACCATAATGTAAGCGATTTGGTCAATCCTCAAAACTAGAAAATGGTACTATATCATTTACTTCCCTTCTTATGAATATTCTCTATAATCCTTATATTGATGAGCCGCAATCAGCTAAATATCGACTTTTTATAATAACATACAAACATTTGTATAAATACTATAAGTATTTCGTTAATAAACATAGCCATTACCACAAACCTTTTTTATAATATCGAACCTTCTTTAGAAACTAGGTAGTATGAGTTAAACATGGCATTTAACCGCCATTATTTTTTTTCCCTCATTAGGGTATGTGATCCCTAGTTGCCTAAACGTGAAACATAAATATGGAAAACATGAAATACATACGTAACTTAAATTATATAAAAAAAGAAAATGTGATTGTATGAGACATAAAGTGTTAGGCAACTTGTTGTCAATAGAGATTTATTAAAACAATCCCAACAAAATCGATTATGAAGATGTATTTTTCCACTCGCATTAATTAAAAAGCAATTTGCAAGTTAATTACTAATATTCCAAGGCAAATTATAAAAGTATCATCTCAACTTAAAAAATTAAGCTATTAGGTAAGATCTCATGATATGATTTATATTATTTTCTTATACACCTTTTCAAGTGAAAAATCTTTAAGATTGAAACTTAGACAAATCCATATATCTTGTACTTAATTAATTAAAAGAGAAAGTAAGAATGCTAGGATTCAAATTATTGATCGTTAGGCTAGTAAGGCTCGATATCATATAAAAAAAAATCTTTTCAATTTAAGAATTTAAACTATTAAATGAAGCCTCATGATATAATTTATATTATTCTATCACATTAAAAACAAATATTGAAGACAATTATGCAATTTTAATGTTCAGGCACAAAGTTCTATCCATTAGGCACTAGCACCAAAAAGTTATGGCTCATGAAACATATATAATCAAGATTTCCAAAGTTGTGGACCCATTGATGATGGATCAATTTTGTCCTATTGGGGCTCTCATGCAACATATATAATCAAGATTTCCAGTCTTCCAAGGGACTTCTAGTATAATGAATAAGTTATGGACCCATTGATGATGGATCCATTTTATCCCTTTTAACTTTTATCACTAACAGACTTTGCATTTAAAGTTATTTCTTAATAATTTATCCTCCCATCTCCCAACTTTAATGTTGTTTCTCTTGAGAGATCAGGTGGTATGTATGTATAGTTGAAAATAATTTTAAAGTTTAAAATTATTTTAAAGTGAATTTTTTTAAAATTCAATGAGTTTTTTTGAAAAGTCAATTTTAATTATTCTAGCATAGAAATATAAATATAGATCTAGTAAGAGTTATAATTTAAATTTAAGTCCATAAAACTTTCTCTTAGGAGAGTCCTATGATATCATGAGTGAGTGTTTATATCATGCTTCCCTCTATTCTCCTTCTCTTCTATATTTTTTGACAAGACATCAGAAGGGAGAGAAAGTCCCAAGAGAGAGTGCATGAAGAATAACATTCACACATGAAAAAAAAAAAAATTGAAAGAGTCAATGAATTTTTTGAATAGTAAGTTTGAATTATTATAATACATGAATGTAATGTATTAATGATGAGAGTTTCCAGAGTTATATTAATGATGAGAGTTTTTAGAATTATTATAAACTATTATAAATATATGTATAATAAGAGTTGTAATTTACATCCAAGCCCATAAAACTTTTTCTCTCTAAGAGAGTCACATGATACATAGTGAGAGTTTCCACATACTTATCCTCATCTTCTCCTATATTTTCTAACATATACACCTCCTTAGCTAAGTCAACAGAGGCACTCTTTCATTTTATAGGCATATTTTAAAAAAAAATCCATCTATGGGTGGAAAAGGTGAAGGTTGTTCGTATATCCTCCTACTAGTGACATAACAGTTGATGCAATATGCTTTGAACTGAGTCCTGCCTCTTCAATCTGGTCTGTTTGAGATCCATGCTCAATATATCTGTCTGGGAGCATCATAGGCCTCCACTGCACAAACATGATTGAAAAGGAAAATAATTATTTAGAAGCAATTACAAGTTTAAGAAATCTAATAATGATCCAGCATAAAGTAAACAAAAAGGAGGTCAGGTTGTAAGAAACTTATAATTACTTTGAGATTTCCATCTAGGAGTCCATTCAGGCTTAAGAAATGAGAAACATGAGAGCTAAATCCTCCGATTGATCCTTCTTCGACTGTGATGAGGACCTCATGCTCTTGAGCTAGCTGTCTGATCAACTCTCCATCAAGAGGCTTACAGAATCTTGCGTCAGCCACCGTTGCTGAGATGCCTAACTCTTGAAGAAGCTTGGCTGCTTCCATACAACTTTGAACTATGGTTCCATACCCAAGAATAGCCACCCTGCTTCCTTCTTGAAGCACTCTTCCCTTGCCAACCTATAAACCAAGTTCTTCTTAGCAAATTATGCAAATAGTATGCGTAAAGGCAGAGACATGGATAACTGATTTTATGTTTAGATACCTCTAGAGGAGTTCCTTTGCTGTTGGGTGGAAGAACGGAACCAATGCCATTTCCTCTGGGGTATCTAAAGCAACTAGGCCTGTCATCAATGGCTGCAGCTGTGGCCACCATGTTCATTAGTTCAGTCTCATCTGAAGGAGCCATGACCACCATATTAGGTAAACTAGCCATGAAAGTTGTGTCAAAGGCACCACAATGGGTTGGACCATCTGCACCCACAAGGCCAGCCCTGTCTAAAGCAAACCTTACTGGAAGTTTTTGAAGGTCTACGTCGTGAACAACCTGTATCAACACCAGCACCAAGAAAAATTTAATTAAAGATGTGCACCAGAAATGCCCCAAAATGAAAAAAGAAAAATGTAAGTGTCACTGGCAAATTAAAAGGTATTATATCATGACAAAGTAAAATGTGAAAACTTCCTGTCTATAAAAAATTTCTTTTACACAGAAAAACAGATATTTCATCGAATTATGGAGAAAATTTATGAGTTCTTGAGTTACTCCTTCAGGGAACTTCTATAAAAGGTGTGCAAAATGATTAATCCCCAGAAAAAATAGATTATAATTACTTGCATTAGTCATTTTATTCACCTGATCATAGCCCCTTTGCAGGAAAGAAGAGTAGATGGCACAGAAAGGCTTAAGTCCTTCAGTTGCCAAACCAGCAGCGAAGGTCACAGCATGTTGTTCTGCTATCCCAACATCGAAACATCTGTATGGGAATCTCTTTTGGAACAGATTAAGTCCTGTACCTCCTCCCATTGCAGCATGAATGGCTACAATTTTATCATCTTTCTCTGCTTCAGCTACCAAAGACTCCGCAAAGTACTGGGTGTACGAAAGAGTATTTGATTTTGACTTCAATTGCTTCCCTGACTTGGGGTCAAATTTCACAACACCTATTGAAAACAAGACTTGTTTGGTTAATTGGAAAGGAATGACTTCACAGAAAACTATAGAATTTTTTTTTTTTTTTTTTTTTCTGAAGGAATGGTATGTTGTACCATGCATCTTATCTGCTGCTACTTGAGCTGGAGTATAACCTTTGCCTTTCTCAGTGATAACATGAATAAGAACCGGTCCTGGTGCTGGTATTGACTTGACCTTCTTTAGTACATCAACAAGGTCTTCCACATCATGGCCATCAACTGGACCAATATAATATAGTCCTAGCTCTTCAAACAAGCAGGCGCCAGATGCTCCCGACATTCCTCTCATATTGGAATCCACTTTAGCAGCAATTTCCTGTGTTTTCCCTCCAATTTGTTTTGTGATACCCTGTTGATTTATGAGAAATCAATAAATGATTTTCATTGAGTATACAAATCCGAAAAACTATTGCATCGAAGAATTGTTGGGATTACAAGAGAGCTAAAAGTTCCTTTCAATCCAAGAAACAATAATCAGACCATGTATGAATTTTGCATTGATTTCTGATGAGATTTTAGGCTCGATAGCAACTATAATGAGAAGTTCAAAACTGACCTTTGCTGCTTCGCGTAATTGGCGAAATTTTCTACTTGAATGTAGCCTCGTCAATGCTTTGCTTAGAGCGCCAACAGGAGGTGCAGGGCCATCCAGTGTAGCAGTGGGCAAAGAGACTTGCCTGTTGTCATTCAAGATGATAATGAGATTTGAATCAAGATAGCCTGCATTGTTCATTGCCTCATATGCTTGTCCAGCCGTCATGGCACCATCACCAATAACTGCAACTACATGGTTGTCCTTCCCTAACAAGTCTCTGCCAACAGCCATGCCTGAAAAGGGTGGAACGCAAATAAGTTAATAATCAAATCTAACTATAGATGTTAGTGTCTTCGCCTAGATTGTATATTCTTCGTATGTTTCAGGCCCGATCATACTTATTACTTATTAGAGAATAGTTAGAAAAATTGCCAAATTAGATGCCTTGTCTCCTCAACTGCTATTTGTTAGATTTGTACACGGCCAAGATACCTGTAGAGATTAGCATTTTTTTGTCGCGGTGACACGGTAAAGGAACAAAGATTGGTATACCTAAGCCAGCTGAAATACTAGTAGAACTATGGCCAGCTCCAAAGGCGTCATGTTCACTTTCATCCCTCTTGGGGAACCCTGCAAGGCCAAACGTTTGACGAATTGTATGCATTCTGGATCTCCTGCCAGTTAAAATCTTATGTGGATAGGTCTGCAAAAAATGAAATTCCGTAAGCACAAATCATTAAACATAAACATTAAGTCAACACTAGTCAAATTGTCGTGGTTTGTAGCTCTGCAAATCCTAAACATTTCACCTGATGGCCAACGTCCCAAATGATTTTGTCTTCAGGAGTGTTGAACACATGATGGAGTGCCACTGTTAGCTCTGCCACCCCTAAGCTTGAACTTAGATGTCCTCCTGTCTTTGACACTGTGTATACTATCTCTTCTCTTAACTCATCAGCCAATTTATCAAGTTCCTGCAATTTTTTTAACAAAACATCATCTTGGCGTCCCAAAACATTTTTAATTGATTCCTTTAACTAAAAAAGGAAAAGAACTCTAGAAATTCTCTTGACAGTATTGTGAGTTGATTTTAGTCTTCTTACCTGAACCGAAAGATTCTTCATGTGAATTGGGTAGTTTATGGTGTCCAGAATTGGAGTAGAGGGCTTTTCTCCAGAGAATTTGAGGGACCTTTTCGGTTTTGGTTCCTGGTATCGGTTCACCTTGCTGTTCAACTGATCCCGCGTATTATTGTCCAAGGCTGCTAGTATTACTCCATTGAACTGAAAAGTACAATAGAAGAGAAAGGGGATCACACATCACTTCTCATATTTTTAAGAATCAGATACTTACATGATGAGGAAAGATTCTTTCTTTTAGTATTTAGAGCTACCACAAACACATGCTTGTTTGTTTCTCCACAACAACAACAACAAATTCTAACCTTAGAGAGATTGGTAGTGGTGGGTTTGCTGAATGTGTGTGCAAAAGAATGCCCATCTTGAGAAAGTAAATTATTTGGAAGAAAAGCTGATCCAAGGACTGAAGAAGTTGCCATTTTCTAGTTTTCAAAGATGATGAAACTCAAAGTTGGTTCTACTGTTAAGAAAGAATTTATTAGTGATAGCAGTAGGTTATTGTAAAGCAGATAAGAGATGCAGCTCGAGGGGTGATCGAGATCAAGGTTAGGGAGGAGCTTTTATAGGCAAAAACACTGAAGAGGGAAGACACGTGATATTTTTCCAGAAAATAATGAAGACTAGCGTTGTTTGTTTGCATATGACAGATGACGCTAACTTTACATAATTACTGTCACGAGGAATCCCCAGAATTGGACCAGAAACCTTACAACTCTGGGACATGCATTTATTTTTAAGGTATTTTATCCTCTCGTTTGTAAAAAAAGAAGCTTCCTTATGGTCCTACCATCAATTATTTATGAAATTATTGGGTCCTCGATGCAACATCCACCAACACAATATGAAACCCAACATTAAATAAAATGGGCTTAATTTTTTCTAGATTTGACACTCTGTAAATTAGGAATAATAATGAATTAGAAAATTTTTGAATTTTAACAGTTAAAATTTCATTTCATCAAATTAATGGATAGATGGTTAGAATTTTTTTAAAAAAAAACAATGACTACGTTTTTATATAAAAAATACAAACATGACTGTAATCTTTCTAATATAATATATATTATGTTAGTTCAAACTTAAAACCAGTATACTTTTTTTGTCATCGGCAGCCGAAAAGGGCATTGACCCAAAAAAGAACAGTAGAAAGAAAGGACTTGAAACTGATGCAAGTACTAAAATAAATATAATATATAATATATATTATGTGGTCAGAAATTCCCCCTAGCAGGTCATTAATTTTCTTTTATTTATTAGTATTGTTGTTGGGTCTGAGTTGAGGGGATAAGTGATGACAGAAAAACTCTAGAGGAGCATCCATACGTAAGTAGGTAAAACATCCCCTTAATTAACAAAATCACGTGTAAAAATCTACAATCATATATCATCAATTTAAATTGGAATAGATCAGTTTATCTCGACAATTTATTTTGAATGGATGGTACATCTAGGAGTTATTTCTCAAATAAATAGCAATAATAAAAGAATGAGTGATGGATTTCAATTTCAAAATGATATTAGGAGTTCTCTTTTACGCGTAGAGTCCCAGTTGTTCACTAGGAATAATAGAATTTACTCTCTGCTGCATGGCTCTCTCTCCCAATCTTTCTATATATATATATATATAGTCAAGCTGATTCAGAACTTGGTTCGCTCTCATTTCTAAAAACAAATCGTAGGTAAACTATTATCGTTAATATGATTAAGACCGGAAAAAGGCTATGGTTCATATTTTAATAACCTAGTACGGAAACGACAAAGAAGGGAACTGGTTTTCTCAACGCTTAATTTTTTCCCACGTGTTAGTCAGGAAGGTGATGCGTATGCACAACAAAAAATGTTGGAAATGAAGTTTTGAATCTGGTCTTTTGCAGCGTGAAAAACGGTGGAAACGAGGTTTGGAATAATTGGAATTGGAGAACAGTTTGGCAACATTGTCGTCTTCCTCCACTCGGTGGGACATTTAAATTTAGTTTTTTGCACGTCCAGAAAGTACAAAAAACCCAAGATAAAGCTAATTTCTTATAATATATTCTTTCTTTTTTTTACGTTTCTAAAATTTAAATTTTTTAATTTAGATTTTGAATTTTTTTATTTATAACTTAAAAAAAAAAAAGGCTTTTCTCGTTGATCAATTTCCAACCACATGACAAACGCTTGAGAGTAAAATGATCAAAAATACAAACTGAAATTAAATAATAAACACCTAATAAATACATATAGTAAATTAAAAAAATATATGTGTTGCCTATTTCTTTTTTCTTTTTCTATTTTTCTATTTTCTTCCTTCTTCTCCTCCGTCTCTTAAATGCCAAATCACAAATTGCTACCACACCCTAACACATAAAATTAACCAGCCAACTAGAATCCACACAATATCTTAAAGGATGACTTTAAAATCTTAAAAATTCATCTGATGAAAACACTTAGACCCATATGTATAATGATATACTTGATGCCCACTCTAGGGAAAAGTGGCATCAAAATTTAGCATCAACAAGTCCATTATTCCACAAAAAAGAAATTAACCGAAATTTTGGGTTCTATTTTTTATAGCTCTTACACACAATAAGGCAAAGAAAATGGATCGGATACGCAATAATACAAAGAAAATGGATTAGAGAGGAAGGAGGGGCAAGTTTCAAGAATGGATGATAACTCTATATGAAAATTAGGAAGGATCCACACCAATTTAACCCAGGCCATTTTTACCGTTGAAGATCTAATAAAATACACTATTAATACACAAACATCCATTACTCATAAGCTTTCAATTGATTCAATCTCCTATACTGATTTGTAAACTTCTCAATGAGGCAGTGTAGGTGAAGAACAAAGCATTTTTTCCTTCCTTCAAAAAAAAAAAAAAAAACGGCTGGTTTGAAAACAAAATTTAGAATTTAAATAATCAAACTCTATCCTCTCTCTTTTCGTTCAGATATTGTCCAGATTTGCAAATTTCCTCACCTTACTTCAATGCCTTAAGTAGCTTGTTTTAGAAGAATTATACTTGTTAACCATCGTTTTCATAGCATCCTTCTCCTTTCTTCTATTTTCAAGTTTATCAATGCTCATATTCATCATTCAACTCATTCCCAACACAAATCCATCTTGTTTTGTCACCGTTAAAAATTCAAAAACTATTATTTTACGTTTGAGTATATGAGTTTTAATTTTTCTTTTATGCCAAAGAAAGATGGTAAAATATAAGTCCTATATACCATGTTTGATATAGTTTCAATTAGGTGGTGAATGTTAGGAAGATAATAATAATTTTTTTTTTTTTTTTGTCAAAGGCTATTTTGTCATCTGACTTTTAGTTTAGATGGTCGGTCAGTTTCATGTGTTTGGCAAAACAAGTGTTGTTGTTTTAATAGATCATATGCATGTCATGCGTGTCCAAATATAGTTAGAGATTGGTCAACAGAAAGAAAAAAATTTATTATAGATTTGCGAACCAAAAAGAAATCAGCATCTAAATTAGAAAAATTAAAATTTAGAAACTTTTCTTTATTTGACCAAAATTCAAAGTATTTTATAATCAATTAGCCGTAAAATAAAGTGTAAGAAAAAGTTCATTTTAAGAGTGAAATGTTAAAATTATAATTTAGTTGTTTGGGCAAGAACATATTATCAAATAACAAAATAATTGATAAAAATTGGACGAAAAATACTTGATTGATATTTAAAAAAAAACTCATTTACTTAATTGAAAGAACATTAAAAATTAGTATATTTATAATATAATTATTCCTTTACAATTATATAAAATAAATAGATACTAATTTTATTAAATTGAAGCCAAAAGTCACGGCTTAGCATTTTACTCATTTGTCATGTTATTATATACAAATTATGATTCATGTGGTAAATACAAGATTAGTTTAGTGGTAAAAGTATTGTTTTTTTTTTTTTTTTTAACTTCTTAAGTTCAAATCTTAAAATTATCATTTTCCAAATTTATTAAATTTCAACGTGGTAGTATTTGTTTTTCACGACTCCATGACTAAGTAACCTACACCCTTATTTATATCGAACCAATCGTTATTGTGAGAATGCCTTATATTTTTTGTATTCAATAATATTTATGTACATGTCAAAAGTTATTGTAAGAATGCCTTATATTTTTTGCATTCAATAATATTTATGTACATTTCAAAATATATATAGGAGAGATGGTAGACTTGGTACATCATCCGAACTCTAAATATAATATAATCTTAATGGCCTATGGTTGTGTTTGAATTTAACTTTTAAGCGAGTAGTATCCTTATCACTCTCTCTCTCAAGTTAACGAGTGGGTGGAAGTACTATCAACTTGTTTACGAAGAACTAAAATTTACGCTTGGATGTTGGTTTTGTTAAGATGTTCGTAATTTGATTATTCATTGATACATAAGACACTTAGAGTTCTTTGGTAACCATTTATCGTGCACAAAATGAAAATCTATTTCTAAATGCTTACTTCGAGAATGGAAGATAGAATTTATAGCAAAGTAGGTGACGATGATATTGTCACACTAGAGGATCGAGGATTTTGGTAAGGTGAAGCCTAACTCATGAATGAGGGAGCAAAGCAATAGGACTCCAAATATAGTTGTGGCTAGAGCTTTGTATTCTACTTTGGTAGAAGACCTTACCATGGTTCATTGTTTCTAAGAGCACCACGAAACCGGATTGGAGCAAACATAAATTGCGAAACCTATAGTGGATTTCTATCATCGGGACAACCTCCTCAATCAACACCATTGGAAGTAGAGATATGACATGAAGGATTTTTGTGAAGTGAGAGACCATAACTTGATGTGTTTTGTAGATATCCGAGAATTCTCTTGGCGACTTTTCAATGATCTTTGGTGGGATTGTTCATGTATTAAGAAACACAATTAACTCTAAAAGAGATATCTAGTCTTGTGATACACAAGTATTGAAGAGCACCTATTGTGCTTCATATAAGTGAGGATCCTAGAATTTTAAGCCCTCGGTTATAAGTTAGTGGCCAAACAAGTTGGTGTGGAAAGCTGGATTGGATTGCTCCATTCGATTTCTAGCCAATAAATCATGCACATATTTCTATTGGAATTGGAAGAGAAATATTTTTAAAGATGTCCAAGACACCTTAATGCCTAAAAAATAGTAAAACGACCTAAGATCCTTTAAGATAAAACTATGTTGAAGCCTACTTATGACCGTGGTTACACAAACAAGATCATTACTAGTCAAGATGAGGTTGTTAACATATATGAGACAACATATTTTTACATATTCAAAGGTGTAGATTTATAGAAAGCAATCCTTTTTGGATCGTTTAACCCCAATTGAAGTAAAATATCCGTAAGATGTTTAAATCATATTTGAGGAGCTTGTTTTAAATCATATAATGATTTACGAAGTTTGTAGGCATACCCTAGTTTTGAAA